AACATATATCTAAATATAAACCTAAAACTATAGAACTTCTAGAAGAAAAAAAACAAAAGACTAACTTTCAGAGCCTTGAGTTAAAGATTTCTTAAATATGACACCAATAGCATTATCATTTAAAAATAATAAAATACATTTAACACCTTTTTCTTTTAGAAAGTCACTGTTATTAAAGTGAGAGGCAGGATACTGTTTGAGAAATAATATTTGCATACATATGTCTGATAAAGAACCTGTAGCAGAGGATAAAGAGAATCCTCATAAGTGTGCAGTAAGAAAACAAACAGCCCGCTTAATAAAATGAGCAAAAAATTTGAACAGACCCTTTACCAAGGAAGACATAGGAAAAACATGCAAGTGAAAAAAATGGTCAATATCACTAGCCATTAGGAGAATGTAATTAAAACTGAAATACGATATCCCAAAGTATTTAAAATAAGGACTTAATTATGTGTATGTTTGTGTTGGGGAAGATGTGAATAATGTAGGACCCTGATACACTTTCTGCAGGAATGTCCTATGGTACAACTACTTTGGAAAACAGTTCATTCAGTAGTTTCAAAACAATAACCATACCTATCATATCATCTCAACATTGCACTTCTAGGTATGAACCCAAGAGAAATAAAACAAACACACATACAAAGACCTGTACATAAATGTTTATAGCAAGTTTGCTTGTAATAGTAAAAACTGGACACAACCAAAATATTCAGGTGAACAAACAAATTATATTATATCCAGATGTGCTACAACATGAATGGTGTAATAAAAGAAGGCAGACCAAAAAAAAAAGAGTGCATACAGTATGATTCCATTTATATAAAACTCTAAAAAGCTCAATTTAACCTATAGTGCAAAAATTGATCAATGGAGGAATAAGGAGGGATGCAAAGAGGGATTACAAAGAGTTATGAGCAAATTTCTAATGAATATATTCATTAACTTCATTATAGTAATGTTTTCACTCTGCATACATATATCAACCATATCAAATTGTACCTTTTAAACGTGAAATTTATCATATTTTAATTATATTTCACTATAGTTATTCAAAAAAAGAAAATTTTTTTCTTGAGAGAAGTCTTCATTGGAAATGGGTAGATCCTATTATCACTTAAAAATATGTAGCAAAAACAATATTTTCAGTGGTACTTACAGCATAGAGATACTAGGCTAGACATGAAGACAAGCTCACAGCTAACATCATACTCAATGTCGAAAAGTTAAAAGATCTTCCAAGACCATAAATAAGACAAGAATGCCCTGTCTTGCCATTTCTATTCAATATAGTACTGGAAGTCTTAGCCATAGCAAATAAGTAACAACAACAACAAAAAAACTGTTACAAGTTATAAATCATCATTTGAGTAAAACTGAAGAATACAAAATCAACTAACAAATCAGTTCTTCTTATACACTAACAATAAACTATATGAAAGAAAAATTAAGAAAGTGACACTACTTATAATATCAAAAGCAATATAATACTTAGGAATAAATTTAACCAAGGACTTACGCACTAAAAATAATAAGACTCTGAAGAAAGAAATTGAAAAAGACACAAATAAATGGAAAGATGTCCATTTTTTGAATTAGAGGAATTAATATTGTTAAAATAACCACACAATGCAGTGATCCACAGATTCAATGCAATGCCTATCAAAATTCCAATGCCATTTTTCAAAAACAATTATTCTAAAATTTGTATGGAAGCACAAAAGATCCAAAATAGCCAAAGCAATTCTGAGAAAAGAAAAAAAAAAAGAGCAAAGTTGTAAGCACCACATGTCCTAATTTTAAACTACATTACAAAGCTATTATAATAAAAAAAGAATTGTACTGCCAAAAATAATAATAAAAAATCCCAAGTACATAGATCCCAGAATGGACTAGAGAGCCCAGATATAAATCCACACATAAATGGATACGGCCAACCAATTTTTAATGAGCACTAAGAACACACATGGGGAAAAAATAGTCTCTTCAATAAATGATGCTGGGAAAACAGAATATTTACATGGAAAACATAATTAAACTGGACTCCTATCATATGCTACTGAAAAAAATTAACTCAAATCAGATTTCATTGTAAGCCTGGAATTATAAAACTTCCAGAAGAGAAAACAAAGGAGAAAATATCCTTGACATTGGTCTTGGCAATAATTACTTAGATACAACAAAAGCACAGGCAACAAAGGCTAGAATAAACAAATAGGACTAAAGAGGACATCAAATTAGAGAGCTTTTACACAGCAAAAGAAAAGGTCAATAAACTGAACAGGCAAACTACAGAATGGGAGAAGACATTTGCAAACCATGTATCTGATACAGGGCTAAAGCTCAAAACATATAAAAACGTCATACAACTCCAGAGCAAAATAATAAATTATCCAGTTAAAATGTGTAAAGGACCTGAACAGACAGACATTTTTTTCTAAATAAGACATATAAATGGCCAATAGGTATATGAAAAGAGGCTCAACATCACTAATAATTAGGGAAATGCAAATCAAAGCCACAATGATCTATTAACTTATACCTGTTAGAATGACTATTATTAAAAATAAGAGATAACAAATGCCAGCAAGAATATACAACAAAGAGAACCCTAATATATACAGTGCTGCTGGGAATGTAAATTGGTACAGTCATTATGGAAAGCAAATTTCCAAGAAATTAAAAATAGAACTACCATATAATCTAGCAATCCTATTCTTGGGTATACATCCAAAAGAAATAAAAGCAGTATCTTTTAAAAATCTACAAACCATGTTTATTTTAGCATTTATTCATAATAGGCATAATATAAAAACAATATAAATGTCTTGCAATGAATAAATGGATACAAAAATATATACATAAATATACCTATATATAATGGAATATTATTCCTTCATGGAATATTATGACAGTCATTAAATCCTGTCATTTGCCACAACATGAATTAATCTGGAGGCCATTATGCAAAGTAAAACAACCCAGATTGAGAAGGACAAATATTACGTGGTATTAATTCTATGTGGAATTTTTTTGAAAGACAATTTCATAGAAACAATAAAATCATGGTTGCCAAGGGCTAAGGAAAGAGGGAAATGGGGGTGACACAGGTGAAAGGGTACAAACTTTTAGGTGTGAGAGTAGAAGTTCTGATGATCCAGTGTATGTCATGGTGAGTACAGTTAATCACACAGTTATCACACGCGGGAAAGCTGCTGAGGGCAGCTCTTGGACATTCTCACCACAACAGAAAAGGGAACCGTGTGAGATAATGGGTGTACTAATTATCTTGGCCTTGGTAATCATTCTACAATGTGTACGTATATCAAATCATCAGACTGCACACCTTAAATATGCATAGTTATATTTGTCAATTATTTTTCAATAAAGTATAAAAATACATAGCTAGAGACAAGTAAGCCAGTAACCTTTATAATGGCAGTCTTAAAAACTGAGGCATAGTTTTGCTTATTTATCACATTTGTAAATGGAAAGCCTTACAGATGTGAGGTTTTCCATTCCAACGTGAGGCTTCTCTTCCAAACTGTAGAGAAGATGGAATAATAATTATTGTGTCTTTATTTTCCTACTATTTAAATGTTCATCTTCTCAAGTGAATTTGAAATTATTCAAATATAATAAAGGTAGAAATGATAGCATTTATGTGTAAAAACATATTTACTAAAAATCATATTTCCAGATATTACTCATCCTGAAGTAAATTGTTATTTATAAATAGTCTTGGACTTGGTGGTAGGTGGGAAATAACTACAGACCTCTCTCTAAACTCATCTCAAGCCATCTTAATACATTATGTCCTGCATTATATCTCATGGGTAGATACAGTTTAAGGATCTGACTGTGCATCCAACAAAACCTAGCCTAAAACCTCACATATAAAAAATAGTGTATATTTAAAATATTTATTTAGTTTCTTAAATATATTTATATTTAAATATGATTCTACACTTCTACTTACTTTTATAAAACATCAAAACACCTTTCTGAGCCAATGTGATGATCACTGCCTTGAAAAGATATTTTCTAACATAATTTGTATTTATACATATGGCATACACTATTCAGTAATAATCATTGAGATAGTCATTTCCTGAATGCAAAACCATATTTCTAAATTGCTGCACCAGAGAATTCTGATGAATTACTATTTGACCTCTAGTTATAATTAGGAATATCTTGCTTTTAAGAAAAAAAATGTTAGTAAGTTTTTTCATTTAAAACATTATTGAATCAATAAAGTACATAGAAATTCCATAAACACAATTCAATCTACACCATACCAATTATAAAGTAGATTTTAACACTATTTTAATAATTATTAAAAGATTATTAAGTGTTAAACACTGAGACGTACATGCTCACAGTAAAATTAGAACTGAAAGATAGGCCCACCAGGAAAATCCTAATCCAAGTAACAATGGGGAAAAGTTCATAGCGCATCTTATTTTTCTGTCTGGTCATTGGTCCAAAATCTCTGCCATTCAAAGTCTAGTCTTTAAATTTTCATTTATTATGCTTGGAATGCAGGAAACATGCTGAATCTCCCAAATCTCTTTCATGCAATTGTTATAAAGTACATGTCATGTCACTGTCTATTCAGCTGCTTGCTTGCATCAGCCAATCAAGATAAGTAAGTATTTAAGGGGCATTCATGAAAAATAGTGTCACTATATAGATTGGTTTTCTTATTAATTATATTTAAACTGACATTTAAATAAGTCCATCTGTACAGAAATGTCATATGGAGTCTCCAAACATATATTCATTAATACTTCCAATATTTCTATCATTATTTCACAAACATTCATCTCCATTTTACTGATTTATAAAGCAAAGCCCTAATTCATAAAATGGCACAAACCTACTAACTGTATGTTTTCCAGCTCACAGTAAATTTCCATCAGCCAGGAAGAAGAGAAGAATACAACACATCAGGTGAAATATCCAATTGGCACTTGGGTCTGATCTATTCCCACCTTTTTATAAGCGATCCAGTCAAACACCCTGTCAATATCTGTTGCCTGTAGCACTTCCTGTGATACTGGATGGGAACTGGCCAAGCCGTCAAGCAGCATCACTTCGTGCAGAACATCCGTCAGAAACCTCTGTTTCTCCTGCAACACAGTAAACAGGGCGATATCATAGGTGATTCACGGTTAAGACAGAATGCGTGTGACTATGTGAACAGAATATGTGCTGCTTAATTAGTGATGTTCATCAGGCTACATGGCAAGACTTAACTTTAAAGAGAACACAGTAAATTAAATGCCCCTTAAGTTACTCTAAAATGAAAGTGGTAGATTTGAGCACATGAAACAAAATCGATGAGCTACAAATGGATTTTTTAAAAAGTGAACTCTGTGCTTTAACAGTGGTTAAAGCGAATTTGGACAGTGGGCACAGAATGAAACTGAGTAAGTAACCTTATTTGTGCATTCTGCAGGGTCAAGGCTACGATTCCAGTTTCAAATAATCTATTTGGCTGAGTTCAATATAAGAATAATAACTAAATTTCAGGGTTCCAGTGCTATTTTGCTATTTACATCATTCATTTCTAATAGCATTTGAACAACTCAGTCTCTCTCTCTCTCTCTCACACACATACACACTTATAATACAAGGCATTATTGACATGAAACTGTAATATCTGTGGATATATAATATATGTGTGAATTCAGTATAATGAACATAAAGTAGAGATGAGTAGGTATTAATATTCCATTACCTTAAGTTTGAAAACAGACAAAATTATGATACTTTTATTCTGTGCTTCTTGAGGCATTAGCATTTGCCCTAATAAAAGCTGATTTGTTATGTTAGGAATCAACTGTAAAGAAAAAAGTACCTCTCTGTTGTTTTCGTTTTAGGAAGCCTGCTTTAAAAGAAACAGCTTGGGTTTTGTTAACAAAAAAGCTGGCAGCTATTAGTCCTCCTGGCCTCCTGCCTTCCTTGAGGGAGGAAAGAAAGAGAAAGGAAGCTGTAAGAGATAACAAGGGCTAAATAGCTGCCAGATAGTTGGGACCTGAGTATCATTGCAGAGGTTAAAGATGGCAACACTTAAATTGCTCTAGCTAATTCTGAATTCATTCCTGGAGCCTCCTAGCTTTGAGCCAGCAGATAAGGAGCCTGTTATTTCTGAGTGAGTTGCAATTTCAAGTTGAAAGTATACCAACCCTGGGTTTTAAAAAATAGAAATGGAGAATAACTATGCTAAGAAAACGATAGTTAATTAGGCATCTATATATGTGTTACTTTAAACATTTTTGTTCATTATCATTGGCTCGGTGATTTAGTATGTTTAATTTTAATCAGTAATTTAATTAATTAGCCATCTGACTATATACTATAATGTTCATTTTCTAATAGATTATTTTTATAGTTTATGGGTGATATAGCTAATGTCTTCAGTTCCTTTTTGGCCTATGAGTTTCATCACATCAATGGTCTCTGCTTCAAAGACCACAGTGTGGCCATGACTGAACCAAAAGTCCCTACAAAGCCCAGAAGACCATTCCAGACCTTAAGAGACCACGATGACAAGTTCCAACTTACAATAATTAAATTGACAAATATGATATAAATTAATACTGTATTTCTTCTCAAATTAAATTCCTAATTTAAGATGAAATTAAAGAGAATGCAGTTGAAACTTGTGATTTAAAATCTTAAGTACAAAAAGACTGGTATAAAATATTCAACTCTTCAAATAGTGATTGCCCATACCGTTATGTTACTCAACCGATTAAAAAAAAAAACAGTGTAAAATGACCTTAAACAGATAGTTTATTTGAATATTAATTATTAATATTTAGAAATAATATATAAATATATATTGGTCAATATTAAAATTTAGTAAACACGCCTTGGTTTTCGAAATGTGATTTTGAAGTGGTATAAAGTAATTGGCTATATTATTATAAAACTAAAATCTGAGGTAAATTTCAAAAATGAAACTTTCATATTTAAGCAAATATAAGTTATATATGACATACTGCTTCATGTTTCTGGAGAAAAATAAAAACAAACCTTTACTAGTCAATAGAGTTTCAAGAAGCAGTGTTTAAATTTAGTAGTATTAGTCATTAGCAAAACAAATCATCCTTTACATTGTTGAAAAGAGTGATAGTGTGTAATAGAGGAAAAAGGCATCAAAAGAGATTTATAAGGAAAAGAAAAGGGGGGAAAAAAGAGAAAAAACTGCTGGTGTAGAGTAGATATTCGTCAGAATCTGGTGGGGAATAATTGATGTTTCTCTCCTCTTTTCTTCCCTTAAAGATAATAATAATATTTTTTTAAAAAAAGAGAAAAAAAAACCTGGCAGAAGGGCACCCACAAAGATCAGAAGAGCGAGTACCTTAAATTGAGAAGGAAAAAAGAAAATTCTAGCCAGAGGCAAACTCAAATTAATCAGACTACAAAGGGTTTCCAAGAGAGGAAGTGCTCATTTTTTTATAAGGACCTGTGTCACTGAATCATAAGAAATGATCTTAGCTTATCAGTCCTGGCTGGGACCATCATCCTCCTTCTCTTTATCAATAACAACAAAAATAACAGCAAAAACTACTAAATATTGATTGATTGCCCACTGTTGACCTGAGACTATGAAAGTTTGAAAATGAAGTTAAGTAAAGCTTGGCTATCATGTGAGATAAAAGATAAAACAAAATAGTCACAGTGATCAAAATAAGTGCTTCCTCTTACAGACCGGAAATGCTACAGAGTGGAAGGGTAAAGAACAAAATTATTATTTTATGAATACATAACTACATATCTACATATATAAATAAATAATATACAAAATACACAAGATATACAAAAATAATAGGATTATTCATGGAAAGTTTAATAGAAGAGGTTGCTTTCGATGTGACCATGGTAGGAACTTTAAAGGGAGGTGTGGGGGGGGGAAATAATATACTTATGGTGCACATTCAACAGTTACTTTTTATTCTTCTTCATATTTTAAGAACACCATGATATACCACCCTTCCACTTTCAACAAGCAGCACAATAAGGTAAAATGGAGAACCTACTTACAAGTTTAATGCTATTAGTAACAATAAATCCTACCACCCTAATACAGACATCCCTTGGAGTTATTGCATACATGCCCATATTTAAACAGTTCTAATAATACGAAAATATATATCATATCACCTTGAACTATTTCTAAAAATATATTACATTTGGATGTTTGGAGAATAATGCAAAGGCTTTCAGAAAAGTTAACAAGGTTTAAGTAAATGCACAATGTTGAGAATAACATATGGGAAAAAAAGCCACTATTATTTTATTCATTTATTCATTCATATATTTACTTAAAAATGTGTATTAAATTTCTACTCTATGCCAGATATTGCACTGTATTTAGGGAATAAATACATGACTAAAACCTTAAAACACTCAAAAGTGGAAGACAAACTACACACATGATACATAAAAAGGTAACTATATTATAATATGATGGATGGTATAAAACACAAAGGGTAAAATAATTCATTCATTCAGGAAAAGCTTCACAGAGGAAATGAATGGGCTGTTGAAGGAAGAAGGGCTACTCAGACGAGTAGGGGAAGCAGCTAAAAAGGTGGGGCAAGTCCAAAGAGAGGAACAATGAAAAAATCTGCTCTGTTTGAATCCTCAGTTATCGGGTTGATGAGTGAGCTCTTAATAAATAGGCAGTAACAGACATAATGACATAACAAAAGTAGTGTCTTGGGCAAGTTAACCTACCTGTGGTACACAGGATGACTTGATATAGAGAGAGATGAGACAGAAAGTGGCACGTCTACCAGGTAGGGATGTGGCAATGATGCATTAAAATAAGCTGTTGCTGAGGTAAAACAAGGACTGTTGGATCAGCATATTTTTAATGAACATCAACTGAAATTGATGCTTTAATGCCTTGGTTTCCCTAGTGGATGATGGGGAGGAAGTACTAAGAGATAACTACATGGCTTCTAGAATTGATGGAATTTTTTTAAAAGGGGGAAGGTATTAATAGAAATGGAGAAGTGAAAAAATGTTTAGTTTAGAGGTCAAGATAAGAGATCAACTTTAGACATTGCAAGGAACTTGGCAATGAATGTCCAAAAGCGATATGCTTTACAAGCAACTGAAAGAGAGAGCCTGAGTCTCAGACAAGAAGCCAGGTGCTAAACAACTTTTGGCAACAAATTTTAGTGTGTATACAAATATAAATGAAGTCTCAGGGGGAAAATGCACTCTTTTCTATTATTTCTAATAATATCAGAACATCATATGTTGGTATTTAAGAATATATGTAAGGGGAGTTAGTAAGAATTATTATCATGGCATTAGATACACCCAAGAAATACATTCCTTGGTGTCTCAAAATGGCTGCTTGAGCATGTCAAGGTCTGAAGGGGTAAAAGTGAATGTGCCTGGTCTAGTCAAAGTCACAGCGATGAGTGGGAAAATAGGAAACACTATTGAAGGCGGGACTGTCAGTTAAGTTCCTATAAGAAGGCTGACTAATTTTAGTGAAGAGAAATACCAGGCAGACACTTTGTCACCAGAAAAGAAAGGGAAAAAATCAGAATCATCTGAATCGAGGTAAAAGGAAGTCAGATACATCAAACCAGACAAGGAAGGTGATAGCCAAGCCTGGGCCAATTCAAGCAGTGGTGACGTGCTGATATGCATTAAAAGAGCAGAAGAAAACTTTCTCAGGGTAATGGTGGGTGGAATCAGAGTAGCTACGGGGACTCATATTTTGTTTGCTCATCTGGTTGATTAGATTCCACATATGAATGAAATCATATGGTATTTGTCTTTCTCTGACTGACTCATTTCTGTTAGCATAATAATCTCCAGGTCCAACCATCCTGTTGCAAAATCAATTTGTTTTAGAATAGGTCTGAACATAAGTAGCTCTTTTGGTATTTCTAGGAGAAAAGACAGTCACACTACTGTGAAGAGTCCTAGGCTGGAAGAAAAATATCTGCCATTCACTAGTTATATGACCTTAAGCAAGTTAATCTTTTTAGACCTGAGCATCCTTGTTCGTAAACATATATGGTCGTGAAAATCAAATAGGAGAATTTGTTCCACAAATATTTACTGAACACCTGTGGTATCCAAGATGGTGGGC